ATATTGTCCTTCTTTTCATACTTATAGCTGCATCAGTTAAGTTTGATCTTATGAGTCGTGATTAGAATCTCAATCTCTAGCCCGCTTCTTGGTTGCTGATTAGGGTAGTATCGGAGTTTCAGCCGATCTTACCTGATTTAACTACTTTTTATCCTATATGCTTGATTGACATGTTAAATCTGCCATTTACGTTAAGATCTTGCTACATTTAAGTATATTAGGCTGTTGATTAGTATATTCTACTTGCTTTAATATCTTAATATAAGGTGGTATCGGGGTATTAGCCGATACATGCTAGATCTATCTGATCGGCTATGCTATGAATGTATATAGTCTCATTGTTAATATATATTTCGATCTAAGTGATTTATACTGTCTCGGCATGGCGACTGATCTATCCCAATCACTTGATTTAAGTATATATCGATATAAAGATTATATATTGGTAATATATGCAGCCGATCGAGTAGATTCAGTCCTTTCTTATTTATTAATGACTGTCGATCGATGCATATACGACATCAGCTCAAAGATAAATAATATGTCATCGGCACCTAGCCAATCGGCTATCATTTATAGATTTAACTGCGGTTTCTTTGCTTCTATTTCTTGTTGATTACAGGATCAAATCAACTGGCACGCTCATACATTCGAAAGCGAGCTTTGGACCTGCACTGGAGTTAAGCAGATCTCCCAGGCCTCGTGTTTTCCGTCTACAACGCCGTACCTTATTGGCACTATGGCGAAGGGCGTGGCGTGTGGCGAAACCTGTTCGCCCGTAGCCCTTGACGCGGTACCTTATTGGCACTATGGCGATGGGCGTGGGTGGGCAAAACCTGTTCGCCCGCAGCCCTTGACGCCGAACCTTATTGGCACTATGGCGAAGGGCGTGGGTGGAACCTGTTCGCCCACAGCCCTTGACGCCATACCTTATTGGCACTATATCGAAGGGCGTGGGTGGGCGAAACCTGTTCGCCCGTAACCCTTGACGTCATACCTTATTGGTACTATGGCGAAGGGCGTGGGTGGGCGAAACCTGTTTGCCCGCAGCCCTTGACACCATACCTTATTGGCACTATGGTGAAGGGTGTGGGTGGGCGAAACCTGTTCGCCCACAGCCCTTTATGCCGTACCTTTTTGGTACTGTGGCGAAGGGCGTGTGTGTGGCGAAACCTCTTCGCCTGCAGCCCTTGACGCCGTACCTTATTGGTACTTTGGCAAAGGGCTTGGCGTGTGGCGAAAAGGGTCCCATTTCGCCCTTTCGGTATGGGTATCCCCACGGACGGCGCCAGCTATTGTCGAATGGAAAACTATGCCACGTCAAAAGGCGTGGTTCTCTTAACAGTAGTTGGAATGTAAAAGCAATTGTATTGATTCGTAAAATTTTTTAGGGATCCCCCCATTACATGGCTCTAGAGGTCTATCTATAGCCTTAGCACAAGCTTGCACCTTCTAAGGTTTAGGGTTACAGGGGATTTTACATGGTTGCCCTTATGAAAGGGACATTTACATGGGTACGCAGTGTCATTTGCACATATGGGCCTTTAATGGGCTGATAGGCTGGGCCTGGTCTATGGCGAACAGGCCTAAAAAGCCGGGGGCGGCCTGTTAGGCCTCCTTGATGCCGAACTCGTCATGGCGAAGTCTTTGTAGTTCGCCCGAGATGCCTTTAATTTCGGAGTACCGACGCAGCTTTCCAGCCTTTGCCATCTTCGTTTATGGCTTTCGCCATAGGGCTTCGCCTAAATGGTCTTGACGTCTTCGGCTTGAATCCTTGCTGGTACTATGGTTTCGGCAGGTCCGACCGAAGGGCTTCATGGCATGCCTCCAACAATATGTATTGACTACTAGAAACTTAACGAGGCCACAAAGAAGGACCATTTTCCACTACCCTTCATCGATGAAATGTTGGGACGGATAGCATATCACTCCTTCTTCTGTTTCCTTGATGGGTATTCCGGGTATCATTAAATTCCCATTCATCCCGAAGACCAAAGCAAGACCACGTTCACATGCTCGTATGGAACCTATGCTTATCGTAGGATGTCATTTGGACTATGCAACGCTCCCGCCCCTTTTCAGAGGTGTATGATGTCCATCTTTTCAGACATGATCGAAGAAATCGTGGAAGTCTTCATGGATGACTTCTCAGTCTATGGGAAGACCTTCGATCTCTCCAAAATTTGGACAAGTCCTTGCAGCAATGCCAAGAAAAGGACCTGGTATTTAATTGGGACAACTGTCACTTTATGGTCCGCGAAGGGATTGTTCTTGGCCATCGAGTCTCTGAGAGAGGTATCAAAGTTGATCGTGCAAAAATCGAAGTCATAGATCAACTTCCACCTCTCGTCAATATCAAAGGAATCAGTAGCATCCTTGATCACACTGGCTTTTATAGAAGGTTCATCAAGGACTTCTCTACAATCACCAGACCGCTAACAAACTTGTTGGCTAAGGATGCCCCCATTGATTTTAACGATGTGTGCCTTAGATACTTTGAAACTCTAAAAAAGGCTCTCGTTTCCGCGCCAATCATTCAACCTCTTGATTGGACGCTTCCTTTCAAAATAATGTGTGATGCCAACGACTTTGTTGTTGGTGCGGTTTTGGGCCAAACCAAGGATAAAAAGCATCATGCAATCTACTACGCTAGCAAAACTCTAACCGGAGCTCAGTTGAATTATGCAACTACTGAAAAAGAGTTTCTTGCGGTTGTTTTTGCTATCGATAAGTTCATACCTTACTTAGTGGGTGCCAAAGTAATCAATTACACTAATCATGCTGCTCTGAAATACCTGCTCACTAAGAAATATGCTAAGCCACGTCTCTTGAGATGGATCCTCTTACCCCCAAGAATTTGACTTAGAAATTAAGGATAAAAAGAGAGTAGAGAATTATGTAGCAGATCATTTGTCGAGGTTGCAGATCACTAACATGCAGGAACCCTCGATAAATGATTTCCTACGAGACGACATACTAATGGCAGTATGCAACTCCGACCCGTGGTATGCCAAAATCGTCAACTACATGGTTTCTAAGTACGTACCACCAGGAGAGAATCAAAGGAAATTGAAAATGACAGTCATCGCCACATCTGGGATGAGCCATACCTATACTGCGTCTGCTCAGATGGACTCTTAAGGAGATGTGTGCCAATAGAAGAAGGGTTTAAGAAATAGAGAGATGCCACGCAACACCTTATGGTGGGAACTACGGTGCATTCTGCACACAAGCCAAAGGCAAGGAACTACGGTGCCAACAATGTATGAAGATTCGAAGGAATTCGTCAGACGTTGCTAGAGCTGCCAAAGGCAAGGAGGGATCACTACTCGAGATGCGATGCCCCTCACATACAATCTACAAGTAGAAATCTTTGATGTATGGGGCATCAACTTCATGGGACCATTCCCTAAGTCCCAAAACTGCGAGTATATCCTGGTGGCAGTCGACTACGTGTCCAAGTGGGTGGAAGCGATGCCATGCAGAGCTGCAGATGCAAAGCATGCTGAAAGGATGTTCTCGGAGATCATTTTCTCTCACTTTGGGACCCCGAGAATGGTTATAAGCGATGGGGGATCTCATTTCATCGACAAGACCTTTAGAACTCCTGCGCAAGATGGGCGCCAAGCATAACATCACCACACCTTACCATCCTCAGACCAGTGGCAAGGCAGAAACATCAAACAAACAGATCAAGAATATTCTGCAGAAAACGGTCCATGCAATGGGAACAGGATGGAAGGATAAGTTACCCGATGCTCTCTGGGCCATAGTAAAAAAGAACTGACCGGGGGTCGACCCGCTCTGGCCGTTGGTTCACCGGTTCAACGGTCGAACCGCCAGTTTTAATTTATTAATATTATATTTGATTTGCATTATTTTTAATATAGAACCATCACAAATTGGTGAAAATATGAATAAATAAACCAGTATATCTATTATTACATGGTCACAGCATAAAAAAAATAAATGTGGTGTGGTAACATGATAAATTCATCATGTCATACTGCCATAGGAAAAATAAAAACCAGTTCGATACTTAAACACCCGTCACCGGTTCAAGGAAAAACCGGTCGGTTCACCGGTTTTTTACCGGTTCGATTGCAGGGGCGGTCTTTTAGCAGAACCGAGCCGGCAAGGTGGCTGGTTCCCTTTTTTTGGGTCCACCGCTGGTCCGGTCCGGTTTTTTTAACTATGAATGTCACTATAGGTTATAAATTTTGGACATGCTTCTCTCAATGTGTCATTAAAATCTCTTAGCACCACCTCTGGCTGGGATTTTTAACTATTTACCACTCTCCCGGATAGCCACTCTTCAAATACCACTCTTTTAGTTCTTCCTAATATTTTGCCATTATAGCGATGTGAAATGTCACTTTTGCCCCCCTTCCCCTTCCATATCTCTTCTTCCTCTCCCCCGGCAGCGAGACGAGATGGACGCTAGCGGCGGCGGAGCTCGAAGCCCGCAACGCCTCTTTCAGGCAGCCCAGAGTTGCTCTTCCATTTCTCTTCTCCCCCCTCTCTCTCGACAACAAGACTTGATGGGCTATAGCAGCGCGGGGACGACAATGACAGAGCTTGAAGTCCGCAGCAGCGGTGGCGAAGCTCAAGTCTAGTGGTGGCGACGGGGAGCTCGGAGTCTTTTCCTTCTGTTCCCGGTGACGGAGATTGAACTCGAGCTTCTGCGCAAGAACGGTGCGCCTCCATCGATGTGTTCCGTCGCTACTACGGGCCCTGAGCTCTGCCGCCGCCACTGTCGAGGTCTGCCACTATTGGCCTTGAGCTTCATCGTCGCCTATCTCGTCTCGCCACCGGGAGAGAGGGAGAAGAGAGATGGAAGGGAAGGACACAAAAGTGATATTTCACATCGCTATAGTGGCAAAAGATTAGGAAGAACAGAAAGAGTCGCATTTGAAGAGCGAGTGGCAAATAGTTAAAAATGCCCCCACTTGGACAGGCCTCTAGTTGGGAAGGAAAGGGAAGAAAAACGAGCGGATAAAGAAATCTAAGAAAAGAAAAGTCTTCTTCCTCTTCCTCCCCTCCTCCCGTCCCCATCGCCCAATTCACATGGCTCTGCGTCTCCACGGCCAATTCGATCCAACCCGCGAAGAGAGCCCCCGCTTCTCCCCATCCAATTCCGCCACCTGCTCGTTCTCCCAGTTCCTCCTCGCCGCCCCAGCTGACGACGGCCACCTCTGTTCGATCCACCGCTGACTGGTCCCCCCCGCTCCTGGTTTCGGGGGCGGTTCTTCGATTCTTGAGATCTTAGCTCCTTCTTCGACGGCCTCACCGCTGCCATGGGCAAGAGTTCGTATCATGTCATCCATTTCGTGGATTCCCCTTGCTGGTTCTTCGCTGCTCGGTGTCATTGGGAATTTTTTCCGTTGTTTCTTTAGGTAAGAAAAACAAGGGTGGTCGAGGAGGCGGCGGCGGTGGTGGAGAGGACCAATTTGACGGAGGTAGTGACGTGGATAGCGTGAGTTCGGTGTCGACGGCGCTGTCCGACCTCCAGCTCGCGCAGGCCACCGAGCAAGTTAGCTCGCAGGATTTTGTTCTTGACAAATACATCGACGATCTCTATGAGAAGAGGTGGATCATTCTCTTTTCCCTTAGCTGGATCAATGATGTCTGCTAGGAGCCTAGGAACTTATATTTTTCCGTTGTACGTTTTTTTATCAGCAGTTGAATATTTTGATAGACGGATAAGCTTTATGGAATATGTTTGATTTACATTAATGCTATGTACTTCGTGAAAGAAGCTATTCTATAACAACTGCAGTGCCGGCTGGCACCGGTCTTATACAGGATATCGCAATCGTCTCAAGCTGGGCATTGAATTCTGTTGTTATATTGCAATTTTACCTATGTTGCTCAAATTATCATTCACAATTGCTCTTTAAATGATGAATTGTGCATGGTTTCATCTAATAATTCCAATTAATTCTTGGCAGTTCATTTATGGTCTCGGAGATGCAACTAACAATCTAACAATTAGTCTATGTTGAACTGTCTCTATTTATTTGTAGAATTGGAGTAAATATTATTTACCAGCACATGGGTTTTTATCAATAGAGAGCATGTGCTATTGCTACCTCTACTGGTAAATTTGAGTTTCATAATGTGTTTTTCCATTAAAAATACTTGTGAATACATATGCTCTTGCACACTAGATTATCAAGTTATATTAACAATGCTTGAACCATTAAATCCTCTACTAATAATCTTTTTTCTGTATGTTAGTGAGATTATTAGTTTTAGTAAAGAATTCACATAGATTAATAGATAGTTCATATACACTAATGCAGCAAAGAATCCATCAATTCAAATTGCTCTTTGATTTCTTTGTTTATTAGTTTGATAAAGTAGATAGATTGTTTAATAATTGGAAAAAAAAAAGGCAAGTTGTGAGTAGAGTTCAAAGAGTCATCAAATGTCATTCTTACATTTAGCCAATTTGTTGGGTGTCTGGTCATCACATAAAGATACTAAAGTTTGAACAGAAGTACAACATTTCCAGTTTTCTGTTTTGTTAACCAACATTAAACGGTCACATTGTGTATCATATGAACATCTTGTTTAATTCTTCCCATTCTAGATCAACTCCATGAGATCCCTTTCCTTCAAAAAGATAAGAAGAGTCCTGCTGAGCCTTTATGCTCTTCAAAAAAGGAGATTTGGAGGGAGAGACGTCCCTCCAAACATTTTTAAGAGGAAATTGTGAGTGTGTTGTGGATTAAACACGAGACCTTGGGGTTGAAACCACATACCCCTTGCCACTGCACTATCAAGTGCATCAACCACACCCCTTTATGCTCTTCACACCACCATGTTCTTTCTTTGCGGTATTTATAAAATGAATGATGAAACAAGAACAGAATACTATTGAAAGAGTCAAGCTCTCCCAGAAAGTGAAAAGAATAAAGTACACACAAGTACTATAAATACTGCTTCCAGGTTGTGTACTTTTCAGTTTTTGCTTTTTGTAATAGTATAAAAGCACTACTATTTGTTTTATATTAACGCGCATATTAAATCAACTGCTGTGATTGGTCCAGGGGATCCACAAGAGAGGCAGCATTAGGCGCTCTTGTTGATGCTTTTGAAAGTTTTGTGCTACTTGATTTAGTGGAAAACAAGTAAGTTCATGGTTGTTAAATATTGTATGCAGCTATTGAACTGATGGGCATATGACTGTACTATTCATTCATGAGAATTTAGATTCAGCAATTTGCATAACCCAAATTTATTGTGTTCTAGTTTCAAGTATCTAGTGAGAAGTGAGATTACATGCAAGCTGATAAACTGTAGGTCCTATGGTTCAACCATACTAAGTCAAATATTACAGTAGCAAACTTCTGGATAAAGGCATTCCCTTTTATCTAGCAATTTACATCATACATAATGAGTTACTAGTGAACAGATTGGTATATGTCATTTCTATGTTCATTCATAGGATTGTACCTTCCTCCTTTCCATACTATTCAATATGTATAGTGAGCTTACGCATGCATTATTGCAAGCAGACAAGCATTCTTTCCATAGTTTAGCCACAGTTGGTCCAATCATAACTTTTTCTTCTATAGGAGTTGCAAGCATTTGAACAATGTCATGCCATCTTTTTTGTCAATCTATCCTGAAAGTTTACCTTTCTTTTTAATCTTTTGAAGGTATGCCACACTTTTGAGCCAATTTATCAATTCAATAAAAAAAGGATCCATAAAGGAGGTCTGTCTGGCTTGTCACACCACTGGTTAGTATCCTTCTCTGTCCATGGGTATTCGTAGTTTAGGCTGTGCAGCAGAATATCTGCTGTTCTGAACTTCTTTTGTTCTTTTTTAAACTTGCGAGGCTTACTGGCCATTACACTTGGTGCTGGAAGTAGTTCTCATGAAATAATGGATGAATCCCGTCTGCAGCTTCTGAGAGTCCTCCAAACTTGGCCTGATGCTTCAAAAATGATATCTGTATGTTTAGTTTGTTTTTTGTTCATCCAGCAACTGAATTTGGATTTTCAGGAGGCACCACTAACCTGAACTCTTATAGGCACTTGATTGCTTAGCTGTTGTCACATTTGTTGGTGCAACTGATCTATCTGAAACCCAGCTATCTATGAAAGCCATCTGGGATGTGATTCACCCTAAGTCAGGATCCAATGTAAGGGTGAATAACTTGTGGTGATGGCTTGGTAATAATTGCAAAATGTTATATCTGTTGTCATCTGAACTTAAATCTTTTGCATGGATTTTTATAGGTTGGAATTGTCAGAAAACCAAAGCCTCCCTTGTTAGCAGCTGCTGTGTCTGCATGGGCACTTCTTTTGACAACTATTGTTTCATCAAAAAGAAACGTTGACTCTTGGAAAGAGTTAGTGAAGCTCAGTCTCCGTTTTCTTCTCTGCACCAAACTATATGTCAAACTATGTCTTGATATTCTTCTTTTGGATGCAGGTCAATTACATTTCTTTCTGCTCTTCTAGAAGCGGAGGACCGTGCTGTGCGGATGGCTGCTGGTGAAGCATTAGCACTGTGCTTCGAGTTAAAACTGCTTGATGTTTTCTCCAATGAAGAAGTTGAGGTGGACACTGCAGAAGCTAGTGGTTCTAAGAACCAACTTTTCTTGAATATGCAAGCATTGAAGGCCAAAATATCTGGTCTAGTCTATAATCTCTCTATGGAAGCGGGGGGAAGAGGTGCTGACAAGAAAAATCTGAATGATCAAAGAGACTTATTCCAACGAATCTCAGATTTTATTAAGGTCTAACTTTATTGTATTCTTGTTGTATCATGAATGTTTTAATAGCTTTTTTTTCTGATCATCTAATTACCTTTTTTGCAGACTGGTGAGTGCCTTGAAGAATCACTTAGAATTGCAGGCAAGCATGGTATTTTAAGAGTTACATCATGGCGTGAATCAATACAGGTGTTTGTTTTATTTCAATGATTATCTGAACTTTTGTGCTTGCACATTTATAAATTTGCTAATTTGTGTATCTTTGGTTAGTTGAACTATTTGAGGCGGTTCCTTGGGCGAGGATTTCTGAAGCATGCACAAGTTAGTATCGGTGAAATTATGCATATTAATTTCTTTTCTATTACTTATATTTCTGCTTTATATTCAGACTGGCATTCATAATTTTTATGACAGGACAATGGATTGCTACATGATATCTTTGACATCAAAATGGATAAAACTGAAAACATGTCAACCACTGAAAAGGTAAGCTTTTCATAGCTTTGGACTTGCTTTGCATTCTGATTATGTTTTGTAGGGTGTTATTTAGAGTTTTGTTTGGTATGTCTGCTTGGCAATTTCCGGTGATATGTACTTTGATTTTCAGATACATTTTATACTTTTGGGTAGTGCTGCATCCAGGCTTCTCCGTGCAGTGTTGATTTATTTATAAGTTGCAGTGTTGCCCTCCTGGGGATAATCAATCACCAGTTTTATGGTACATATAGAATTGATTTGAATAGTCTATGCTCGCATATCAAGTTTTTATTAATTGATTAATTCGTTTCTTAACCTGTTACTGGCTTATATTTTAACTAGCAAAGTACCCATGCGTTGCGACGGATGAAGTCAATAATAATTGCATACATGGATGATTATAAGAAATATATTGATACTAACTTAAAAAAATTATATTTTACATATTACTAATTAAGTTTGTAACCATAAGTTTATTGGTATTAATTAGGTCACGTAATATTATTTTTATTTATTAATTACTTCATTCCAAATTTTTAATGGCAAAATTTAAAACGTGCACATCTCTTTCCAATGAAAACATCAACTGCCAACACTAGCTTTATCGTAAATTATTTGTCATATGTAGCACACGATAATTATGCAGTTCACACTCATCATACCAATATAAGGACCCCCTTAATCTCTCCTCATTTAGTATGTACGTTCTCCCAATATCAACTTTGTGTATAGGACCGGAGGTGCTCGACGATGGAGGCAGCGAAAGCTGTTCTAGTGCATGGCGAGCGCAGCGCTGGCGACAGTGGGTTTAGCGTGGAGTTTATCCACCAAGATTTTGCCAGGTCGCCGCTCCATGATCCCGTGCTGACCACGAAAATCCACGTGCTCAGTGCCGTACGTGTGACCGTTCATGGCATGTGTCGGCGTGCTCGCAGGATCTTTTGAAGTGGTGGATGATGGTGTCATGTCGAAGGTCGTGACCTGGTGATTTGAGTACCTGATGGCACTCACCGCCTCACCGACACGTTCAATGATCGTCATCGCCAACACAGGCAGTGAGGTTGAACTGGTTATGTGCAAGTAGGGGAGCAACCACACCAAAAGAGCACCCGGTGACGGAGTGACTCCGGTGATACAGTTTGACTGGCCAGCATGTTTGTTCCCTGGAGATAGGCATAGGCTGGTTGGCCTCAGCGTGCGCGCTCAACTTTGGCATAGGGCATGACAATCCTCAGTGTACCGTGTTCGACGTTACGAGGTGATCTGGCGATGGGTGAAAAAGGGAAAAGGACAGAAAGCGCGATGTAATCTGGCGTGATCTCAACTCAGTGGTCCCGCGTGATCTTTGAGAACGAGCTAGCACATCTCAATCTCGATCTTTAACGGACGACCTACAAAAGGACTTGCGGGGAAATAGGAATCGAATAAAGGGCTTCCACTCTCGTGAAGCTGTTTTCTACTAGCGATGGATGAAATCTTTTTTCCAAAATACTTACGTACTCCGTATTTTTTAAGTAGGTATAGATTTGTATATAGTCTATCCATACATATTCAAGCTTTTCCTTATATGTTACTCCGTTCATTTCCTATCTGTTACTGTTCTATTTTTGGCATGCTTGTGTGATAGACATCTAGACATGGACATTTTTGTTTTGGGCATGGAACCTAGACGTGTTTTTTTTAATCACAAGTGTGATCACCTGTTCTTGCAGAAAATCTATAGGTCTGGAGAAGAGAAAGGAAGAGCTCTAAAGTTGAATAAGGAGCGTCGTTTAGCCCAAGTAAGATAAACGTGCAATATTATCCATTTTGTTTTTGTTCACACTGGCAGAGTGCAAATCCACTTGATGTTATTCTTCAGCCTTATTAGTAGTTGTGGGATCTTCCAAATTTTTTAGGCTATATGTAGCAGTCGAAGCTCTTGATGAAAATCAAGTAGCATCTTTGATATAACTTACATTTCCTTGTTCAATATAGTTTGATGTTCCATTTCTAATTTGTTAATTCATTGTAGTAATGATTACTGATCAGGTTGAATGTTTTGCGTATGCACAGATGAGGAAGCAAAATATCTTAAACGAGCAATAAAGGATAGGGATGTTCTATTCTTCCTGGAATTTTGTATAGCCGAAATCCTATCAGATATTGAGTGTGTTTATAGGCCAATGTTAATTCATTCAAGAGCGTTACAAACTTAATACAATATACAATGTACTTATAAATTAGAACACAATGTTACTGAAAAAACACTTCTGAAGAATTATTTGTAACTTCCTGCTGGTACAGCAGATTTAAACACGCAGTTGTCTAAACAGTATTTTCCCTTTCTAGTTTGTTTGTACATTGTTAAAACTAGGTTATTGGCTTTATAGTACAATATAAGCATTTGATAATCAAATGCTTATAAACTTGTTTTCTTTTGCGTAAATTTGCTATGAGACACTGAAAAAACATGGTCTTTGCTGGACAACACTGCAAAAACGTAAATTTGTTCGAGGATACATAGGAAGCGTGATAATTTGCTGGCAGACACCATACTTATTATTTTATGATTTTGTACTATAGAGTAAACTTTTTCAATATCTGTGTTTTAGGGATGAAAACGGAGCGGATACGGACGGATAATGCTCATACCATATTCGTTTTCATATTTTTTACCGGATACGAAAACGAATACGGATAGCTCGAATACGGAAACAAATACGGATTATCTCGAATATGATCGGACACGAATACGGAAATAAATTTTTCTCGGAACACGAAAACCAACTCAACTTCTAATAGAAACAAATATCAACATATATAATTATATCATTTTATATAAAATTTAAATAATATTAATAGTATGGGCTAGTGTTAAGAGATAAACTACTATTAAAATCTATAAAGGTATATTGAAGGTTATAGAGTTAGAAAGAAATGGGGTATGTCTCATGGGTCCTGCGGATATCCGAATAGCACTGTTCACCGGATATCCGAATTATTATCCGTGTCCGACGGAAACCCTGATACCGTATTCGTATCCGGGAGAAAATATCCGTATTCGTATCCGTATCCGAAATATCCGAGAATTATCCGATCCGAAAGGTATCTGTATCCGTTTTTGTCCGGAGCGGACGGAAACTATCCGCTCCGTTTTCATCCCTACTGTGTTTAGATCCATGGGTGAAAATTTTTGCCGTGTCACATCGGATATACAGACACATATTTAAAGTATTAAACGTAGTTTAATAACAAAAACAAATTACAGATTCTGCCTATAAACTGCGAGAGGAAGTTATTAGCAAATGTTTAATGTAGCACCACATTGTTAAATCATAGAGTAATTAGGCTTACAAGATTTGTCTCGCAAATTAGTCGCAATCTATGCAATTAGTTATTTTTTTAGCTTATATTTAATACTTTATACAGATGTTCAAACGTTTGATGTGACAGGATGAAAAATTTTAGAGCAGGATCTAAACAAGGCCAAAATGACAGTTTTGTCCCTGGGAACAAACATTTTTTCCCAGTCAGCTTCCCGGTCAGCTTGTTTGACCCCATGATTAACGCTGTCAATCACTCAGAGCAAGTATAATAGTAGGTTGTAAGTCGGCTAAGGTGGGTGTTGGGGACCCATCTCCCATGCACGAAAAACGGAGCGATTCATTAGCGCGTGATTAATTAAGTATTAGCTTTTTTTTCAAAAATAGATCAATATAATTTTTTAAATAACTTTTGTATAGAAACTTTTTGCAAAAGACACACCGTTTAGCAGTTTGAAAAACGTGCTCACGGAAAACGAGAGGGGAGTGTTGGGAACTTGCTCTTGCAACCACACCCTAAATGCTGAGGTGGAGGAGAGAAGAGAGGAGAAGCAGGCTATAAACTTACAGTCGGCTTGGACACGAGAACGAAGAAATTCTTTGAGAGATACAAGTGGGCCCTATAAACTTGCAGCCGACTTGGACACAAGAACGAAGAAATTCTGTGAGAGATACAAGTGGGCCCTATATTAACTGTAAATAGCTAACTACTATATGTGGAGGCTAAGAGAAGACTAGAAAGAACCTTATAGTCAACAAGTCGGTGTATTATTAGCCTTGCTCTCAATCCCCATCGATCAACAGTTGTCTCTTGGTTTCTAATTTTCTAATCATTTTCTAGTTTTCTAATCTTTGTTCTGTTCCTCAATCAACAGTTGTCTCTTGGTTGGGATTGGGTGGTCATCGAAGGCCGGCAGGTACTATAGAAGTATAGATCGAAGGCCAGCGAGACGTTCACGGATCGGCGGTCGTGGCGCTCCGCCGGCGGCGGATTGGACGTCTGCGGACGATTCGCACTCCCGTTGGCTAGATTTCATTTGGCGGCGGTGGGAGGCTGAAAGCTCGTTCTCCAGCTACACGTTGGAGAGGCTCGAAGGCCGCTCATCTGCGGCGTGCTCAGGCGGCGCAGCTAAAAGGCTGCGACAGCAAAGTCTAATCGATAATGAAGCCATGGATTTATTGCAGCTCGGACCAAATGACACATTTTAATGGTAATCAGGATTATTGAACCATCACGTCGAACGCGGCGGTACCTCAACACTCTCACCGTCAGACACATCTAGTGGCAGCAGCTCAACACTCTCACCGTCAAACAAGGGACAGGAATCGAACTGGTTGCAGCCAACATACGGGAAAGAAGACGACGCGGCCACACATATGGTGATTCGACGGCCACTGGTTCACGCAGAAATCGAGAGGAGGACAATGGGTTGTGACCACGCTGCTGCGCCGTTGCCAACGCCGCTTCTCCTCTTCCGTTCAAGGACCGCTCCGTCATGAGATGGAGGCCCGAGGTAGCTGGGCTGCCAGCACAACCTGCTAAGGAGGAAGATGAGGATAAGGTAGAAGAAGATAAGGGTTTCTCTCCCCTTAACTAAGTGAATAGTATATTTTAATACTTGTGGTATTCTATATCAAATCACCATATTTTTTAGTGGTTTTGGACAAATTCACATTCCTGCACTGTCTCGTAGCAAACATCACATTTTTTTTTTAATGTCATGTAGCAAATTTTACCATTTCTTTTTGGCTCCTCTGTTTTAGCACAGAGCATAGAGTAATTAGGGCAGCCTATAGTTTGAGGCAATAAGTTGTGTGTATTCTATATACCTCGGTTAATTTATGAAGCAAAGAAAGATAAATTCGAGCACATGTAACATCAAGTACCCGCCTCGTCTGTTTCTCCGTTCATTTTATATATGTAATGCTATTCTGTGTTCCATGCCAATGTGCCATGCCCTGAATTGAATGTGCTTGAAGTCAGACTATTTTGAACCAATAAGTAAAACTTGGAGAATCTGTTTGGACAAAATGACATGTGGGGCAAAACTTGAGTAACCATTGTTAATTTTACTCTGAAAAATATGACTAGGCTTTTGCTCTTCTCTGTATCTATGGTACTTATGGTCTTCAGTGGAAGTCGCTAGCTAGCATACTGACGCCTGCCACCAGTGAGCACGGAGGTGATGGTGCGTGACGGCGAGGAGTGGTGGAAATCATGCAGCGGGCCATTGGGATGGCAACTGCCAACAACGGCAACCCTCCAGCTCATTGTCATTGTTTTCTGGCCACGGCAGTTCATAATTCCCGCCAGGATAACTCAACAGATTGCTCACCGACCCAGGGTCGGGGGCGGCAAGGTTATAGTCCAGCAACATTAGGCCATAACGTGAGGAGGAGAGCTCAACGTTGTGGTCCGGCAACTACCCGGTGCATCATAATCCGGTAAGGCAGGGGCTGTAATCTAGCGAGTTGGGGGTATAATCCAGCAAGGGGAAGTTACCAAATTAAAGAATCGGATTCCAATGACCAGGGAGGAATGCAATTATAATCCCACGGTGAAACAAGCTGGCGACGAATAATAACCCGGTGAGACTAGCAGGTCCAGTGGCGGTGCAATGGTGGCGAACCAATGCGCGTATCCCGCCGACGAGAGCGGCTCCTGCTGATCCGATGTGCTGCTTGTGCTTCGAGATGACTCTGGATATGGCAGTGACGCAATGTCTGCGAGAACGCGAGAGCTTATTCTCCCCTCTCCTCGGTGGATCTACGATAGATTGCCTTAGAGCTGGTATGTGGTATGGTGTTATACTGAAGGGTATGCGCGATGCCTCGCCACGCACGACAATGTTTGCATGGGCTTAATAAGTGCAAGGCAACGCATGTTCAAGTAGTAATATCAAATAAGGATATTTATTAGATTACCTTCGAGTGAACATGAGCCGTTCATTGTATTAGATCGTACAGATGATAGTATTTCTACTACACCTATTAGTTTGTGTAGTAGGTGTAGTAGAAGGGTATTTGTGAGAAAAAAAATACATGGAATTGTTGTAAATATGTAGTTTCGATAGGGTTCCCGTGTGAACATGATTTTTGTGATGTGTTCCTCGCCCTCCAACGAGGCGCCGGTCACCACCCCGATGATCGAGGCCAGGGCTTGACATGTTGTGCTAAGTCGCCATCGCCGTTGCCGCCACCACCGTCCTATTCGTCGTCCTAGGCTCCTAGCGCTGCACCAAGACCGCGACCCTCATCAGCTCCAACTCTACCACCACAGATGAGCAGGAGGGGCACGTCTCCGGCGAGCTCCCCCATCATATCCCACCATCCCATTGTGCTCGCCCCTCTCCACAATGCACGCCACCTCCTTGGTCGTTGTGTGTGGGGGGTGGATCGAACTCGGCATCGACAATGGGATCTTTGTGTCCATCTCGGCTGCCCTAAGATCAGAATGGGGGAACATGGCATAGACGGCGAAGAGTCCGCCTCCAATGCAGCTGCCACCTTGGTGACCACTACGGCTTCTCCCATAGTGGTGGCCGCTGCAGCGCAGCGCGAGCAGCCAGATCGAGGCAGCATGGTGGAGACCGCTCTGCCGATGCGCTGGATTGTGATTCCTAGCTCTAATAGCATTTGATATTGAACTCTGAGACGTTTATGTTATCCTGTATAGCATGTAGATGCAGTTTTTAAAGCCAATATTAACGTTTGCACAAATAAATTTACTTGAAAAATCGATGGGTGCATCAGAATAACACAAGATTAAGGGAAGAAGCAGTACTCATGGAGTGAGTACTGGAAGGTCAATTAGAATGTAGATCGTGCTTGCAGCGGTGTGCCTCCGGATCTTATGCAATGTTGGCGGTGTTGTTCGTGACACATCGCATGCGTTGCGCCAGCGGCTGAGCATAGAGGAGGGGCGCCGCATCTAAGAGAGAGGATTCGCATGGCCGCCGTCGGTTCAGTCAACAAGGGTCGCCGGCCATTGGGCACACAGTTGCGTGGAGCCATGGGTTTACCCGCGAACCTAGGCAAAAATAGTGCGTAACCCACCGGTTTGACTAGCGGGTTAACTATGAATTTGACTTATAAATGGGTTTATAGATCGATCCACTTATATATTTAGATGCGGCAAGCCGGGCCACGACGCGAAAACCCTATAAATTATTATTTATTTAAACTCGCGGGTCGGCCCGCTTGCACCCCCACTGCCACGGCGGTCAACGTGGTCGCACGAGGGGAGCTCGGGAGGGCGAATGAGAACGTCGTGCAAGAGCGACAAGGGGTGCCCCCACGATGATGGCATCTGCATCACGAGATGACCATGACTTGGGCCTAGCCGAGCGATTGCAGGCCCGTCTTGCCCCGGGTATGCCTAAAATACCCTTCCACCTTAATAGTGCAAAAGCCTAAAATACCCATGATAATCGGCGTTCAGATTTGAAGGACAGGGATAGGGATGGTGGGGAGCGCGATGAGGATGGGGGCATGGACCATTTCTTTGCTTTTAATTTCTCATTGACACCCGCGCTCCTCCACTGCCCGCTTACCCCACCGCCGGATACTGCATTGCCTACCTACGTGGTATATATACCCTCCTATCAAAAACAAAACACATAACATGTGGGGATGAAACATAACCAAAAACTAAAATAATACATACATATGTACATGTAAGTGTATATCTCCGGAGCTGCATATCTACCACTAAACTAATAATTCTATATCTAACTAAAAAAATACATAAGGTTTCTGGGATTTTTTTTTGTCTGTTATCAATATTTTCATTTTTGTCCATCCGCGAGATCCGCATAGAGGTAATGATCTCGGCCTAAATAGAGAGAGAGAGAGAGAGTAATACCCCTTACAAAGTTGTGTTGTGGTTCCAATTTACATCTGTTAGGATTACAAATATCGGTTTATCCGTTTGTCACTCAAATTTTCGTCTGTCGCCTTATGTGCAAAGGCAACCACATATTTCGCCCATCCATTACTCCCATGCTATAATCATCGGGCTCACATGTCAGAAGCATCATTCACATTCCATACGTATAGAGAAGATTAATTGTCCAAGAACAAATATGCCTTTGTGATCACAGTACACATCACTGATGCTTATGATCAGGCTTAGTTGCTTGGATAAATTGTTGAGATCAAACATTACTCATCCTGGTACTAACCAGTGCAACGCAGGTGTATTTTTCTAGTCTAAAAAAAAACTGGTCAACTCGGCCCATGCCGAGACAACGGACCAATCCTATCGTACCGTCGGTCTCACCCTCTCTCCGCTTCCTTTCCGGTTCTCAAAACCTTCGGCTCCCCGTCGTCCTCCTCATCCTCCTCACTCTGCCCGTTGCAAATTCAAATTTGGATTCCCCTTCCTCCCCACACGCTCCCCTCCTCCTGCCGAGCCGAAACCCTAACGATCCAATTCCTCCTCCCTTTGGGCCTCCCACCATGAGCGCCGCCGCCGCCCCAGCAGCCGCCGTCGGCAGCGGCAAGGAGCTCGCCAACCCGCCGACGGACGGGATCTCCAACCTCCGGTTCTCCAACCACAGTGACCACCTCCTCGTCTCCTCCTGGGACAAGGTCAGCGACGATGCGCGTCCCTCTCCGTTCCTTGCGGTCTTGGTGGCCCGTAAGTAAACCCTAGCCCCCCTTTGATTTGGAAGATCTGACCGGGGTTTGGTTCCTTGCGATCTCTTTTAGACGGTGCGCCTCTACGACGCCGACGCGAACGTGCTCAAGGGTGAGTTCGTACACGCCGGGGCCGTGCTCGACTGCTGCTTCCACGACGACTCCTCCGGGTTTAGCGCCGGCGCCGACCACACCGTGCGTAGGTCAGCCATTTTGAGTTAACCCCGTTCTCCTGCCTCATTCAACTCTTTGCACGCGGTTGATTTGACGGTTCAGGAGGTTTGTTCTGGATACTGTCATTTTCAACAATTGCTCCTTTATATGCTTGCTCATGATGGTTTGGGATAGTACTCCCTCGAGTCAACTTGGAGCATCAGTACTATCGTAACCAGATTTGAGTAGATTTTTTTTCTCAATCTCATGACACTATAATTTTATTTAGTTTCCAAATTGTATTGTTATATAAAATAGTGCTTAAAGTTGTCTTTCATAAGCTGTGTTACCGTCCAACGGCCAGAAAAACAAATTGGGATGCAATTGACACAGATGATAGAAAATGTTAAGGGTTGTTAATTCGGGATCCTAGTTAGAGGCTGGAGAAATGGAGTAGATTTTATGCTCAATGGACCATGTTACAATGCCATGGATGTATTTCCCCGTATAACAATTAACATGTATGCACATATATGTATATATTCAAATACATATAATCAGCTACTAGCGTCATTAAGCAACCATGAACACATGAGTGAACTAAATGTTTCTTGTAAATTCAGTTGTCTAAACTCAACACTTTGTTGCTTGTAAATAGGCTTATATTTTTTCTTATTGATATCATCATTAGCTCATCCTTATTATATTCTACCATAACGTGAAGACTTGGTAAGACTAACAAGCAATGGGGCACGTGACTTCCAGGTTAGTATTTGGTTCAGCAAAAGAGGATCTTTTAGGACGGCATGATGCTCCTGTTCGCTGCGTGGAGTACTCTTATGCTGCAGGTACTTCGATTTTACTGAACACACATTCCTGCATTAAAATCTTCAACCTTAGGAGTTTAACTGGCTGTTTACTGGAGTAATCAAGTTCTCATTATTTTGGATGTCATGCACATTTTCTGGCTGAATTGTTATTTGAATTCTATATTGTACTATTAGTTTGTACTTGAGCATGAAAAAATCGATCATAGTGCTTAACTCTTTGGATAGAGGATTCGGCGAATGCCCATGTCAGTTTGTTGTTTATGTTTCATACTAATTCTCTATCTGGTAGTGATGTTGGTGTTCTTACCTGCTTTAGTGCTGAGTGCTGACTTAATTTCTCGTGACACATCTTGCAGACATGATTATCGAACTTTCAAATCTTTTGAGTATCGATGTCTATTTGAAATCTTTTAGAGAGAATGACCTGCATTACTGGTGGGAGTAGCAAGTTAGGGTAGCATCCATTTCTTTTAATTTAAGGGCAAACACCAGTCAGCAGATGATTCATGAATGAATTTCTTCCTGTCCTCGGTTCTGCTTGTTTTAGTGAATATGCTATACAGATTGGCTAAAGTAACCAAACTTCTAGTTGGTAAATTTCTGGAAATTGTGCAAAACTTGATTCTGTGGCATTGCATATATTAGCATGTACTACGATCTGGTTGTCATGTATAATTTGTTACATCCTAAAAACAATACAGAAATTAACTATTCATTTGTGGATATTGAAATTACCTGTTCATTTATGGATTTTTATCTATGCAGGTCAAGTCATCACTGGCAGCTGGGATAAGACTATCAAGTGTTGGGATCCAAGAGGTGTAAGTGGACCAGAGCGTACGCTTGTTGGGACATATGCTCAACCTGAGCGTGTATATTCTCTGTCGTTAGTGGGGAATAGGTTGGTTGTTGCAACAGCAGGAAGACATGTCAATATTTATGATCTGCGTAATATGTCTCAACATGAGCAAAAAAGGGACTCTTCTTTGAAATATCAAACACGTTGTGTTCGATGTTTCCCCAATGGAACAGGTAATATGCTCTCTTTTGATTACTTATGCTGCAGGACAGTACATTTCCAGTTGTCTCCCATGTTTCAAACACTAGCTAAATGCCCTTATGCTTGTGATGGACAATTTGATTTTGCACCAAACATGTCCTTGATTTCCTTTTTTGTTACAAGAGCATTTGATGGTGTTTACATGTATTACCTATGAAGTTAACTCATGCATTACATATAAACTAAGACATTTTTAACATTTTAGAGTTTTCCTGGGACTTGTTAAATTATGATTTTAGAAAAATACAAATAAAGATAGAATAACATATAAATGATATATTACGTAATATTAGAAAAAAATTTGGTAGCAATCTGTACAAGATGTAGTGGGAGCTAATAGGGTGTTAGATTCACTACCACCATCACCACTACATTTAATGTAATGTGGGGGGGGGGGTATAGATGAATTTCCTTCTGTCTTGATGCTAGATAATATGTCTATTTTGTCTGTGCGTGTGCACAGACAAGATGAATAGCATTAGATAATCTAAGCTTCTTTCCATCTATTTTGATTTGAGCCTTATGGTATAAGTTCCTTTAGAGTGGCTGTTGATCTTATACATGGTTTTTTTTTGTGTGTAAGTTTTGGAATCAATACAGTCACCTTGCTTTTATTCTGTGGATTGCATTGTTCATTATTATTTTTCCTACTACAGTGAAATATATTTTGTTGACTGACCTTGATCTTTCTTGTCAATGCTTCAGGATATGCCCTAAGTTCTGTTGAAGGACGAGTTTCTATGGAATTCTTTGATCTATCTGAGTCTGCTCAATCTAAAAAGTATGTTTTCTGCATCTTAGCTTGCGTTTTAAAACATTTGTTTCTTGGAGCATGTTAATTAAGACTTAATATAATGGACTAAGAATCTTCCATCCAAACAGCTTTTCTGTTTTTACAGAACAATTTTTAGTTTCCTGTCCTCCATTGCTTCTTCTCTACCTATTATAAAAATTGAAGATGTTTTTGCCGTAGTTTTCGTACGTCGCCTGCGTCCGATTGCGTCTGATATTGTCTCCGCGCGCGAAGCAGTTCGCGTCCGATTCCTGTGTATAACACGCGACGCCACACGTTCGTTGAAGATTTGCATTGCCTCTGCCCTTTTTCCGTGTTGACCACGCCGACCGAATCCGTTTCTGTCAGGAGGCAAGAGACAGCGATGGGCCAGCCAATCCATCTACCGCACGGCTCACGAGAAGGCCAAGCAAAGTTAATTCGCTGCCCCTGTCACTCTACAGTGGGTGATTTTCTGGTGAATTGCTACGTCCACCCAAGCTTGTGCACCAGAAGATTTATAGATTGTCGCTTCGTGCATGTACAGGGAATTAATTCATCTGCATTGCTTTCGTTCTGTTTGGGTAAATCAAATTTAGGTTCAGTTTTTGCTAAGCTCATATGCCAGATTACTATGAGGTTTTTATGAAGATCAAAATACTTCTTTTTTCACCCAAAGTGCATCGCGTTTCTGCTAGGTTTACGCAAGTTTATACCAATAAATTCAGAATTTATTCCCAATGGCGAGTTTGAAGTATGGTATACCTCTTATAGATTAAGGGTGTTATGGTTTTATTGTCCAAGTGACTATTTCGCACACAATGATTTTGTCACATCATGAGTTTGTTTGGAGATTAAAGATTTTTATGCTACAAGACGAAATTTGTCTCAAGGTAGAGATTGTGAAATATGTTAACTAAATTTTAGCATACAATATATTCGGGTTAGTTACCTAATAGGACTTTGTATTACATATTAGGACTCATAGATTTCTCCTTTTATATATCTCTTGTATGCCGCATGGGAAGGATGCGACAACACTATGTGTCATCTACGTTTGTATTCAACTCCTCTATACTGATCATTGCCGATCGTCGCCCATAGTTTTTTCCCATAAGGATTTTTCATATAAAATTCGTGTATCCGTTATGCATCTATTTTCATAACAAGGAAGACTTAACTATCTAACTGGATGTTATAGGTTGTGCATGGATGCAAAAACCATAGCAGGGCTCCCATTTTCATCGAGCAAATAATGGCCAGCTCCTTTTGATCAACCTTGAGCTTAGAGTAGGATATCTTGAACTTAAGTAATATGTAAGACTAAAATTCCTGTAACCCGTTGCAATGCACGGGTATTTTTTCTAGTTATTATAAAAACATGAAATATCTAACATACATAAAGACATCCAGTTTAAACTGGTAGCTAGTTCCTAGTTGCAATCATGCGTACCTCACTTTGGGTTGTGCAAAAACTCAACATTAGACCATAAATTATGAGTTACTTTATCTATCATTTCAAAATTTCTTGATAATTTTATTTCTGAACTTGGGACGTTTTGGTGATCTAAGTGTAACCATTTGTATCCATGGTTTGATGACCAAAAAGTAGTCGTCTGATCACTACTATGTGGCTGCATTGGAGATTTCTAGGTCAAAGGAAATGGTTTTTGTGGTTAGAAACTTGCGCTGTTCTCAGTTCTAAAGGTGTTACAAAAGGGGTGACTTGCAGTCCTGATCAACTAGTTGACCAACTAGTAAACCAAGGTTGTAAATATGGGTTTTGGGAAAAAATACTGGTCACTCCATGAAACAGTTAGCCGCTTGTTTTAGCAGCGTTTATCACTTTCCAGTTCTTGACCGGACAAAAGTCTGAATCCATGTTTTTGAATTCAAAATTCAAATTGGTTACTGCTATAGACAAGGCATAAATTGAACAAGGCATGTGTTGAGCTAAGTTTTGTCAATATGCAAGATGCATAGACACTTGTAGAACATGGAAGGAAGTTGTTTTGGGCTTTTCAAAGTTGACAAACATAACTTTCAAATCAGTACTTGATTCTTTTGCAAAAAAAAAAAAACTTAAGTCAGACAAGTATAATCTTAGGAATGCTTTTGTTAGGACTTAGGACGGACTTGGCATCACCATTTTAAACAGTATTTATGGTCAGTGTTGACTTATGTTGGCGGCACACATCCCAAAATGACTTTATTTTATGACTGGAGGGAGTAGAACAAGAGCACTTGATCATGTCTGAGCATGTCATCAACATAGAGAAGGTGTAGAATATGGTTCTCAGTGGGCAAGAATGAATATCACTAGCTGCTGCTCCATGTTCCTTTGAAAGTCATATTGGATTGGCAAGTTAGATTTCTTTCATCGAACCTTGCTCATGTAGCTAAAAGGCTCTGTTTGGGGGAGCTTAAGATTCTAAGAAGCCGGCCATCTTGCTTATGAATAACAAACACCAACTTGCTTAATTTCATGTGCTGTAACCAGTTTTCCCATTTTGGTTCTTCAAACACAAAACACAAAAGGCATCTCAAAGCTGTCTATAATCAACACAATTAAATACTCATTGAGGTGGAGATGGAATTGACCTTGACTGCTGACTAGGGATTGAAGAGATGATGACATTGGTGCTAGCTAGCTTCCATTTATTTTTATTTCTTGAAGAATAGGGGTAGTTAGGCCATGCTGCTTGCTTAGGAGTTTGAAATTTGTGTGCAGAGAGCTCAGGTAAAACCTCGACACCCACGTATCAAGTTGCATGAGCTTGAGCCTAAAATTGAGATTGGCTAATTTTTAGCTTGAGCAGGTTACGAGCCTGCATCTTTTGTCTGCCTATCACTGTTGACTTAGGTGTCATATAGATTGTTGCTATGAATGAGCAGAGCGGAATCATATTTAAAATTTCACTGTCAGATTTCTTTTTCCAGAAAACCAAGTAGGAACATCCAAATTATCTTACTAAATCCCATTTGGCCATCAAGGCCCAACCAAATTGCTTTTGGGTTGCTTTACGGGTGGGGGTAATGAAAAGTAGGGTGCTCAGTTGATACTAGTAACGAAAAGTATTATGAAATGCAGAATTTTCAGTACTTGTATTATACACAGAAGTTGACTTTCTGTATTACACAGCACTGCATCATTGAACGAACATCTATGTCATATTTTAACTTTATTAAGGCAGCTGTAGAAGATAATGCAGTCAACTCAGAATATAATATCAGTGTACCTTCCCTCTGATCTATCGTAGGTGATATCCTGTGAAAAATTACTTGTTGGCTCATCTGATAATCCTATGCAGGTATGCTTTCAAGTGTCATCGGAAATCAGAAGCTGGCCGGGACACCGTTTATCCTGTCAATGCAATTGCATTCCATCCAATGTAAAGGCTTGACATGCCTTTTGTCAGCTTTTGATTTATAGAATTGCTCGTTGTCTTTAACTTGGGTCTTTTGTATCCTCTGCAGATATGGTACATTTGCCACTGGTGGGTGTGACGGATTTGTGAATGTATGGGATGGCATTAACAAGAAAAGACTATATCAGGTACAAGTGATACTATCTCAATGAAGACAAGGGCTAAAATAGTTGCCATTAATGTTCTTCTTTTATTGCAGTATTCAAAGTATGCGTCAAGCATAGCTGCTTTGTCATTTAGTAAGGATGGGCACCTGCTCGCTGTGGCATCCAGCTACACTTATGAAGAGGGAGAAAAATCGTAAGATTTTACTTTGTTTTCTTCCTGTCATTAGGAGGACATTGTCCATTATCTAAAAGAACAACAATAGTGGAATCTTGACATACTATGTGGTTTTCCTGTTCAGCCATGAACCTGATGCAATATTTATCCGGTCAGTGAATGAAGTGGAAGTAAAGCCGAAGCCTAAGGCACTGGCAGCACCTTAGAAGTGTTTTAGTTGTCTCACGACAGGGGTAATCGTGTGGTTTGATGTGTATGGTGAGAGTAAAGCGTCATTCAAATTAGTATTTTTGTATCCTCGCAAGAAAAAAAGTATTTATGTCGGACACTCCATTTCCCTAGTTCTCTTAAGTTCATGTCAACCACATCTGTTGACGAAATTCCTTGTTTATGTTGAAGGGATGGTCAGCATCTAACTCTGTTGCCTCTGCCTGTTCATTTCGCTTGGAACCTCTAGAAATATTTGCTTAAATGTTGATGTATTCCATATTATTGTATATTATGGTACCATGTTCATTTATTCTGTTTTAAGTTTTGGAACTGGGATCTTATATCAGTCGTCTTGTTGAACCTGTCTCTGGATAGAAGCACTATGTAGTTATATGTAAACACCACAAGTTCCAAGCTGGACTACTAAGTTGCCGTTTTCTCGTTTGATGTAGAAGACACTCCAAGTCTCCAACTGCCCTACATTTTTGAATTCGTTAAAAAGATTGAAGCATGGTTCAAGTACATTTCTTGCTTCTGAACCTGGTGGAGTCACATTTGATCTTGGTTTTTGAAACTCCCTTAGGCCTTGTTTGTTTACACGGGATTTGTTCTGGGCCTGGAATGATAGAACAAGAAATTTATAATAGGTACAACAAAAGACCAGGATTTATTTTGGGTCGGGAACCAATTTACTCATATTAGGTACAACAAAACATCCGGATTAGTTTTATACCTCTTGACTAGTGGATTGATTCCCGGTCGCTTATTGTTCCTATCATGAGTAAATTGGTTCTTGGCCCGGAATAAATCCCGGTCTCTCGTTGTATCTATCATAATTGAATCCGGCGTAACCGAACAAGACCTTATGGTCACTGTGCAACAAACCGGAAATCGGTGGGTGTCGATTTGTAGGGTAAAATATGATGCCTATACAACTGAGAACATTGCCATGTCTAGTTCACTTGTCAAGAATTCCTTCTGTTCCGGTTTAGTCCACTTAAGAACAATGATGACGTCCTCCATGGTCCGTGGGTCAAGTTGCCAGTTGCCACCATCCCTGCTGTGTGTGGGAAAGGCACCGCTGCCACTTGATGTCGAACAGGAGGTCGGGAGTTTAGATCACCGTAGATCTAGGATTTGGGCTGTCAATGCTAATAGCGTTGACATCGGTGACGTATGCTGCGCACCTTTGTATAGGGGATTTTTGGGTGAAAGCCTAGTCTCAGGTATTCAGAATAGTGACGATTATATGTCTTGTGGTAGGCTTTTTGTGTGAAAACGTAGTTCCGGGTATTCAGAATAGTTGCGATGATTTTTTGAGACTAGATGCTGGGGCGCGCCAATGGCGCGCCGCCTGTGCACAGCTAGTTTAAATTTCAAGGGCACACACAAATAGCTGTATAATTGGTGTTTATCTATGATTAGTGAAAATCATTGTTCATTAGCAAAAGTCATCAGACAAACCACCACAGTTGCTAGTAGTGATAGTTACAGCACAATCATTTTTCTTTGGGCATAATTACAACAAAAGTCCTAATAACAATTAACCCATATGAAAGAGTATTGCAGATAATCCACATTCATTCAAAGCCACATCACTGTTGGTTCTCTGGATAACCACAGGGTCTTCAACTCGTTCAGGTAGTTCTGGTACTCGTGCATATCAAATACGATGAAAAGGTATAGCTGCACTTTAAACTGTTAAAAAAATGTTTCCATCGAAGGGCTAGGCATTTGTGATGTATGGTTAAACTTGCTTCAGGAAATCTGAAAACAGAAAATGAAAGCAAACATTTCAAACATTCAATGGAATCACTCCCTGCTTCTTATCCTCCACCAATTGCTTTTTCTTCACCAAAAGCTCCACCAAATTTCAGCACCATCTATGGGTATAATATTCCGCAGTCGGAACCGTGGGGCCTATATAGCAAGAGCAAACAATCATTAACACAGCCATTTCATCTAGGCTGCGTTTCGGCACAATCACATTGTGAGTTTGTTTGTTCCGTTTTCCGCGTGCACGCTTCCGAAATATTTTCTATAGGAAAGTTTACTTTAAAAAATCATATTAATCCATTTTTGAAATTTAAAATAGTTAATACTCAATTAATCATGCGCTAATGGCTCACCTCGTTTTATGTATCTTCCCAATCTTCTCAATCCTCTTCTCCTCAACCTCAGCAAAAGAAATCCATAAACATGTACATAAAAGAAAATTGTAGGCATGTAATTGTCCTCTAAAGAGGGCTATTAATATTATATGACAAATTTTATCCTTACTATATTAATTTTCATTAGAAATATTTATGGCACAGGATATGGTTCGTTATTTGGTCATGATACATAGGAGGAAATCCAGTAGGGTTAAATTTCTCCGTGATTCTTTTTTAAGTGTCACTAAACATGGATGTTATCATAAAAAGAATTTAATATTAATACATTAATAATGCATACAATACACATAATGGAAGAAAGGTCTAAAAGCCTAAGCTTATTTCAACTATTAAATGTCAGTCATATCTTAGTATGATTCAGTAAACAGAGAAACAACGAGACTAGTGAAAGCAATCATCAACCTTCACCAAGACCACTTTAGGAAATCAGAAATACAGTACTACACATAACAGGGGATGGAGATCCATTAGTGCCGAGGTGGGCCTTGATGGGGATGGAGATCCATTAGTGCCAAGGTGGGCCTTGATTTTTGTTTATCAAGCTTGTAAGATCCATTAGTGCCAAGGTGGGCCTTGATTTTTGTTTAACAAGCTTGGCTACAAGAGAATCACTTTCGAGACACTTACCCAATCCTCTTGAGAATAATAACTTGTCCCCTTGTGATCATAGATCAAACCTTGGAGAACAAAATTGTTGGTTTCTGCTTTCTTTCGATTCTGCAGTTAATGACCATAAAAATTATTGTGTAAATGATAATGACCTAGTCAGATATTGTACGACTGACACCAAATATTACAAATCAATAGCACAAAAGGAAGTACTTGTATTTTAGAAACGCGAACTTTCAAGGCACAAAAGAATAGGACTAAAGAGTTCTCTCACAACTGGTGCAGATGATGAAATTTCAAGAACTGTCTGCTGATATTTTTTTTCCTCTGATTGAATTGTTGAATCTCCGTTCAGAATTTTTCCTCTCAGCAAATTAAGGCAGTAGTCAAATCAGACCATCAGAAGAACTTCAATGCTTACAAAAAAAAATCATCAACAAATTCAAGGCCATGGACAAATGCTACATGGTCATACTCTAGTAGATTCATAGCATGTGCCTATGTGGTGCAGTGAAGTTGATTTTAATTAAACAAACTGAAATAATAACTCTTCCAGTAGCACAGATTTTAAGATTCTGAATTCTGGGAAAAACACCATTCAGAAATATAACTTTGTAGAAAGCAGTAACTGGTAACATGTTAAGAACTATTTAGATTGGAGGCCATCAACTAAAGAATTTCAAGTCGTGAAGATGTAAGATTGTTTATTACAATGCAAATAGAAACTGTTCCATAAACAATGTTGTTGCTCTGGGTCGCACCCTTTTGCGCCTCCTGTATACAACTCGTCCTATATAATTTGATTGATCAAAAGTCAACAAATGTAAAGAGAGAATTGCATCTTTTTTTATAAACAGGAATAAGCAAATAAAAAGGAGCCATGAACATGTAGGATGGTAATTTCAATACATAAAGGATATCATAGCCTTGCCGTTAATACAAGCCAGGTACTGTACAGACAACATATTGTCGAACCCAATGGTAAGGACTAAGTACAAAGAACTTCATATTTTCTAATGTACATATGGTCATTCATGTACAACAGCACTGCTAGTATAAATTAAACAAGCACATACAACAGATGCTATTTTAAACATAAAGACATGTCCAAAATCATGACAATGAAGATATTTCTCCGTAATGCAATGGAGGAGAAATGAGAGTAATATAACAGCTATGAGGTACTAAAGACAATTATAACTTTTTAAGCACAGATCTTGATTTGTGTTACTGTAAATTAATTTGAAATGCAAATGTGGATGAATAATTTGGAAATGGATGATAAAACTTATGTGGATTCTTGGAACTGCATTGAAACCACGCCTATATCCAAGCTAGTATACGTGGGGTTTTATTCTGACATTTACAGAGTGATCCATAGACACGTGGTAATACTACTGTGACACAAAAAGGAAAATCTTTATGCATAGACAAACCAGCTCACCAAGGCAGTATCACATAATAACACATTGGAACAACCATTTTAGACTTGCCATCAAGTTGATTTCAGCCTGTCTAATCTAAACTTGGCCTGAAAAATGAGCAGATAATATGCAACTTCACTAAAAGCAAATATTTTGATCTTTGTAAGGTGAATTCAGTATCAATACAATCATAGTTGTGCAGGACAAGTGCGATGGAAAAACAGTCATTTTCGACAAAAAAAAAATGGTACACTTAGATTCAATGGACCCTGACCAATCATAGGTTGCTAAAGAGATCCAATGCTGCAATGACTTCAGAATGATCATGCATGCAGTTTCTACAAGGTGTGCAAAGCTTTGCGGTGCAATAGTGAATCCATGCATCTAGTGATGTTAGAGAAGATAACTATTAATATGAAGAGGTATGCAAGGTTGAAATTTGTAGGTAGCAAAACTCCATAAGAGAAGAACTAAAGCCCATTATATGCTATGTGTGAGTTTACCTACTAAGCCAAAAAAGAGCTCTTGCACAACTATCAAACTTCCTTTCGGTGGCCTCCTCCACCTTCTTCTCCAGTATTTCCTCTAGAGTATTTAAATGGGCTCAACAGGTACAAATCCTGCAGCCTCTGCAATAGGAAGGAACAGTTTAGGGAAAAAAAGAGATGCGCACGGATTTTTTTCCCAAAGTAAACAGAAGGGGATGTTCATATTTCAGAATGCATGCATATGCTTAAAGATTCACAGAAATGTCCAAAAGAACATTGTTGTCAGCCAGAATCACTTATTAGTAAATAGTTGACACCAATAATATGCAGCATATACAGGATAATAACATTTTCACATCATTAGTAGGACCCTATAGCATAATATCATTAGCTCATTAGTTCTTTTAAGCCAACAAGAAAATCTATCTATAGCTCGTTAGTATTTTTAAGCAAAAATAACAAAGACAATTTATAGGAAATCTTGCAATGCTAAATTGCTAATGACAAAAAAAATAGTGACAGTCTATAGGAAATCTTTAGCAAGATGAAACTTGCACTTAAATTTTAATATGCCATTCTGGCAATCAGTCGAAAATGCAATTAAGTATCAGAAATGTCACCGTGGCACAAAGGGTGAAACAGGGACCTAGCCCCCAAGTCAAAGCTACCAGTAGTTCACAGGATGAAGAACTTTAATAAAGGGAATAGCAATCATGAAAGTGTCACGCATCTAAATACAGAGAGCTAAACTTAAATCAGTGATCGATATGTTAGCTAACTAAACATGAACTGCATTTGATTTCTTTGATGAGTATTCGAAAAGTCTATTTCTAACTTAATGAACCAGCCAGGAGTATTTCATTTGCAAAGTTGTTAAATAGTCATGAACAATTAAGTGCTACAATGTGCATGTGAGAGACCAGAATATTCATGGAGAAAAATCTTTATAGTGTTTGGTTTATACTGGTCATAGGATATTTATAACCAGAAAATCTATAGCAGGTTATGTTGCTTGTGACACAAGATTATTATTAGTTGACAACAAAAAATATGGTGTGCTGCTGACAGTAAATACTTCACAGGAGGAATAAAGCAGATTGCAAGCAACTATTACCCAGAATGGAGATGAAATATGTGAACTACTGGGGACAGATTAGTTGCTAGACCATCTGCACATACTCCCTCCGTCCCAAAAAAAGACAAACCCTGGGCTTCCGTGTCCAACATTTGACCGTCCGTCTTATTTGAAAAAATTATGAAAAAAATTAAAAAGACAAGTCACGTATAAAGTATTAATCATGTTTTATCATCTAACAACAATAAAAATACTAATTATAAAAAAATTCATATAAGACGGACAGTCAAACGTTGGACACGGAAACCCAAGGTTTGTCTTTTTTTGGGACGGAGGGAGTACAACATTAAAAACATCTATTTTGATTGTTCCATCCATATGCAACCAAATTTCGGAAGCAAAAGGTCCATGGGTGGTCATTTGCATGTCATGTAAGGACAAGCCTGCTAGTACTACTTGATGATAAGCTTGCGAAGTTGGCGAGTTGTAGGGCACCTTGAGATCAGGTTCTAGTTTGGAAACCAACTACTATGCATCAGTCCTAATTGAAGACCACCACCAGTAGGTGCATTAACAGTCACCTCTGTTTACTTCTTGCAAAACCAAATAAAAGTTTTTTATCCGTTGCTTCCAGTTTTACTAATAACAAGTTGTGATTATCAGAAGGGCCCAAACTTAGACAAATTTGTTTTTATTTCATGTTTTCCTCCTTTGTATGTTTGAGCTCAATTATATACATATCCTACTTCAGCAAAATTGTTCATTAAGTCTACCAATAGCTGGTACAAATGAACAGTGCAAGAAAATAATTATTTCTTATGTTTTAAACTTTATGATATATATCTAAAAAGAAAAATTTAATCTATATGAATTATGTTTACTACGTAACTATGAAAACTGGTGTACATCGCCATCAGTACTGAAGGCTAGCTATGCATGGAAATTACATTATGTTTTGTTATTTCTACAAAAATATAGCTAATTAGCCATATTTTTTTAGATAATAGAAGCTTTATTGAACCCAGCCATGGTGTTCAACGGAAAGAATTATTAAGGATATTGTTTAGTAACTCAATATACCTCTTCACGTTCGATGTATCAAGTTCCTCTCAGATCTTACAATCTAAATGCAGTAACAGCAAGAGGGAATACTGTCAGATGCCAAACACATGAATGATATATGAATAAAATGAAGATTAAAATGACATGAACAGAAGACAAAGTTTGAGTGCAAACAACTCCAGGATGTTGAAAAGCAAATCATGACAAAAGATGCAGATGATTCTTGGCTTATGCCAGAATACTCTGACCGACTAACTGACCTATTTCTGCTTCTATCTTTTAAAAATCCTTGATTACCAGCAAGTATTGTTTTCAGGTAGCGACTAAGCTATTTCTTAAGACACTGAGAAAAGAAGATTGTAATTAAGTAGTAAATACACCACATTAATTCTGACAGCTTTAACCATATGCAATGTGGAAGGGTATTTCTTACAGGCAATCTTCTCTGCCAAAGGCATTTCCGGGTGAAAAATGTCAATGGATTGAACAAACTCCCCGAAATCAGTAATGCCATTGCGCTTAAGATCAAAGAGATCAAATATCTGCTTGAAATGAGAAGATTCAGTCAGTTTTTCACACATCTGAAATTGTTCTATAATTCAACCGAAACCATAAAATTGTGCTTAATTAGCTCACAAAAGCTTTTGCCGCGAGACAGCAGAATACACAGAAATTGAAAAAAAGGCAAACCGACCCGATCAGCGAAAAGGTTCTTCTTGTTGCTGTTCCTAAAGAGTGCTAGCTGGAACTCCTCCTGTTCAAGAAAATGGCAGTTCAGAATTGACCAAAAAAAAACAGAATTTCAATACCAGATGGCCACTTTTGTCAAAAATATGGCCTCAACTAAAAGTGAAATTCAAGAGAGTTAACCTTGTGAATGAACCCATCTTTGAATTCTTGAACAGCTCACACAGGATAATCAGTATTTTCAGTACCTGTATATCCGTTCCTGCTCTAGCATGAACTGCCGATGTCAGTTATCCTAGTGAGCTGCACAAAAAAAACAATTATGAATATATTTCCATGTTTTCATGCGCACCAGACCATTTAATGAACAATTAGATCTGAAAAAAACCATAAAAATTGCAGCAACCTCAAAATGCTCAATAACCCTAAAAATTGAAGCAACCTCATTATGCGTCAGTTAAGGTTTCACAGTATGAAAAAAAAGAATAACAATAAACACAACTGCAAACAGTTTCTAGCAAAACAGATCAAATCTTTATCCTTACCAAGCCGTTGCATCCGATTCACGAGCATCATGTCGTCTGGCCGCGCAGTGGTGGCGGTGGCAGTGAACTCATCGGCGAGGGCTTGAGGCAGCGTCATGGTCTAGCGCCAAATCGAGGGATCCATACTCATGGGGTGCTTCAGGCTGGCAGAGAAGTGTGAGGAGGAAGGGGATGGTGCAGAGGAGGTGGATGCCTTGCCGTGCCGGCGATGGTGCTTCAGGCTGGCAGAGAAGTGTGAGGAGGAAGGGGATGGTGCAGAGGAGGTGGATGCCTTGCCGTGCCGGCGATGGTGGTGGCGGCAGCACCAGTTAAACGTGAATGCACGACGGAGAGGAGAGTGAGCACCTCCATCCGCCAGACCAACAGCCCCTCCATTAGCCGCCAGGCTACCGGATCTGGCGGCCACGACCTCGCCGCCATCAGATCCAGCAAGCCTCTATTTACTGTAAAAAGAAAGAAGGAAAATGTGTGACAAGTCTTTCTTAGAAAAATGTGATAACATCAAACAAGGGGAGGAGAAGAGGTGAGCCTACTCGGCGCCGCCGGCGAGGTTGACGCCATCGCTCAATCCGCCAAGGTTGAGCTCGTCGCCACCGTGGAGCCCCTTGTCCACTACAACGCGAAAATGGTGATACCGGCTTGTGGGAGGACAACGGTGGCTCCATCAACCGCCAAACAATCGACAGCCACGTGCTCGCCACCATCAGATCCGACCACTCTGATGGCAGCGAGCGGCTAGACCGGCAAGGTGACGACGGCGATGACGGCGGCAAAGCAGCGCTCCTCGCAGGCAGAGGAGAGACAAGAGGGGAAGAGGAAGGAGCGTTCGCCTCCTCGATTTCTCCGCGTCCGCCTCGAAGCCCGTGCTCAGGGACGGCGATTGGGCGATGAAGGGCGTGGTGGCAGGGAGTGGCGACCGCGACGGCTACGCGAGGCGGAGGCGGGGACGAGGGCGCAGGCGCGAGGTGACGGGGACGGCGTTGGCGATGGCGCGAGGCGGCGGCGGCGAGAGAGGGAGAGGGAGAGACGAGAGTGAGGAGGGCGTGAGCGGCGGCGGCGACTAGGGTTGGGGGGTAGGGTTAGTGGGCACCGTTTTGCAAAAAAAGCCCCTCTCCTTCAAAGTTTTACATCGTGGTCCAATTTGTTGATTTTTATCTCCTTCACATGTAATATCCGGTACTTAGAAGGACCTCCACGTAAAATCTCGACTCAAAGGTACTTTGCGGAAGGGATCAACATCGAATTACGCGCAACATGGAGGGGTTTTTGCAAAATTGCCACCCCGCGCACTATTCCTATCCGATGTGGCGTAGCTCAGCGTCCGCCCCTTCCGCCGCTCTTAATGGTTTCTAATGACCTGACCTTAGAGGCAATGCGTTGGAGGTTACATGTCAATGCAACGGTCTTATTGGTTGTGTTTTTGTTGGATCGGCTTTGATGGTTATGGCGGTGACCAATTCCGAGCGAATGGCTGAGTTATAGCTCGATTACTTTTCGATATTATCTTCCGCTTTGGTTTGATGTCTGTCGTCGATGGTGGTGTGTGTGAAATTTGATTGACTCAATGATTGGCCGCTGATTTTGGAGATTATGTGTTTAGGTTGAGAATGATAAATATTACATGCAGCTTATGAGTTGTTGGGAAGAAGCAATAGTTATGCAAATCCGCACCAACTATAGATGGAAAATCTTTATCTTTGAGGTGGTATGCTAAGTAGTTTTTTTTCTAATCAAGGTTTTTTAGTTCACAATTATTCATCCTCCAACATCTGTAATAATCAGCTATAGCATGTTTGAAGCAAAGGACATAATATATTTTATTGATAAAAAGAGGTTTAGCTCTACTGTTTCAAGGGAACAATGGTTTCTACTACTATCTACTTTCCAAATATAAGGGATTTTGCCTATTCAATTATATGGATAAAATCCCTTATATTTTAAAGCAATTTAGTCTTCAATAAGAACGGATGTAGGGTTCAAGCCTTTGGTTCAAACAAGATGCAACTGAAAAGCTTACCCCATTAAATAACATGAAAATGGAGGAATCAAATTAACTTTTACCTCAAGAAATACATGTGTAATGTTCTGCTTTATCTCAAGGCACTAATTGTCTAATTTACGTTCCTTCAATAATTGTGATCTCCACAGCAATGTGCACAAGAGTGTCACTCTTTTTTAATTGCTATACATCTGCCTGCAAATTTTTTTTTTTGGTTTTGTCAGCTGAATTTGTGACCATTGGATGTTGCTTTTTAAGATTCGTGTGTCCTACTCGGACCCACACCCAACCTGTCTATTTTGACAACCCTAGTTAAGATGAGAGTGCGGCTTGTGGAAGTGTAGCCTGGCCCAACATAGGTGGGGTGCCCACGTTGTCATCTTGTCCTCTTCTCATCTAGACACACACGCTGTATAACTAGAGAAATTCCTATCTTCCCAATTTTTTCTCGGTTTCTTCGTGCACGGCAAGAGAGAAGTGTCTTCACCGGCGACGACAGGGCAAGCGACCGTGATGCTCTCGGTGTTCTCCGGCAAGGGTAGGACCTAAGCTTGGTGGCGTCGCGCCATGTTTTGTTTGTGAGGCAGGGATTGCCATTCCCAAGGTTGTTGGAGAGGTAATCGGGGAGGGACTGTCCCGATGGTCGTCCCTAGTGGATACATGGAGCCTCTCGCTGGTGTTGGCAATAGATGCAGCTACTGCTCTTCTAGTGTGCCATCTCTCAGCGTCAAGGCCATGATTTCTGGACTGGCAAGCATCGTTGAGGCAAGCAAGGTGAGCTAGTTCTCTTTTCTTCTAAAATAAGAATGTTTACATGTGTTGGTATTTTGAGCAATGATTCGAACGGGAGTGGTAAGTACCTTAGATTTTTTTGATTAACTACATGTGCAAAAGCAGGATCTAGTGGGATTCGAAATGGATTTCCTTTTTTGTTTACCTGGGTAGCGGGAATTATGTGTGATTGGAGTTTGATTTCACACATTTTTTCTGCGCAAACTCATGTGCTTCATCTAAGTTAGGAATAAGAAACGGTATGTTTTAATGGATGATCTTTGTGATTAGAGTTTTGCTCAAATGCATTGAGAGCCAATGAGTTTTGGTTACCTTGTTTCAAGCCCGTTTTTAGGTCTGTTTTTGGTTGACGTTTTGTTTTATTTGTAACTACAAGAAAGTACTCTATCAAATTAACTATGTGCTGTAATGAATTAACTAGAGAGAATCCATTAAATGCCATCGAGTTTGTCAGAAGTCTATGATTTACCACTGATTTTGTCACGCTCTATAATATACCATCGACTTTTGCTTAACTTCTATGATTTACCATCGTCGTCCGGTTAGCCTCTCCATTAGTACTGTACAATTTTATCCAAATGACCAAAATACCCATAGGATAAAAACTTCCAACATTTGGACAAAAATTCTGAAATATTAGATTTTAAGTTTTTGGCCAAATTTTGGATGTTTACAATCTTATGCTTCTAATATGGTATTTTGGAATTTTTGTCCAAGTTATGGAAGTTTTTGTCCTAGGGGTATTTTGATCATTTGGACAAAATTATATAGTGCTAACGGAGGCTAACCGGACGGTAATGATAAATCGTAGAAGTTAAGCAAAAGTAGATGGCATATTGTAGAACGTGACAAAGTCAGTGGCAAATCATAGACCCGTGACAAACTCAGTGGTGTATAATGGTTTCTCGCAATTAACTAGCCCAAGCTATAGATGTGTTTAATCTTCATTTTACCCTTTATGTAGTTGAGCGCTTCTGTTTTTGCTTCAAATTAACAGCGCTCTACTGATATTTCTTATGGTCATAGAAAAATCCGTAAGCGCACGGATACCGTTATTGCATTTCACTCAGGAGTATTCTAAGGGTATCGTATTTATGTTTCCATAGGGAAGGGGTGGTGTAAAAATAGACTTCATATATTCTTCATCAAGCTAAACTAAATATACTAAAGTCTAAACAAGAGTTAAGATAATAATGATAGTTAGTGTGCCACACAAGAGATTTATCTCTAATAAATATTCACTGCATGTTGCCATTCAACAAGAAAGAACATTTCCCTGTTTGCTGTTGTTCTTTTATTTGTCTTCTGGAGTAAAATTTTATTTCAAATTTACGTAAGTGGATGGTACGTACATCCTTTAGTATGTTTGATCTTACTTTATGCGTGGCTGCAGGTTGGTAGAGCTCCATGAGATTCGGACGGAACACGTTTTCCGAACATGCTGGAAGGTGAGTGCGAAGGTGGTGTTCAAATCTCCCATGCAGCAAAACAAATTTGGCACTCGGTATATTTGGTTTATACTCAAGGGCGCAATGGTATGTCAAACACAACAACTCTCTTCTCCTAATTGCTGAAGATTATGGCGCTATGTGCAAAAATGTTATGGAAATTTAGGTTGTGGATTCCATGTCTTTATTCTATACAATTGAAACGTAGGAGACAAGGATGGAAGTGCTAGCCTACGACCTGCTAGCAGATCATTTTAATTGAACCATACACAGTGGCTTAGTCTATGATTTTTCTAACGTGGGTTTTCAACTGACTGATGTGCCTAGTTATGTGAACCTAACCATGCAAGCTAAGTTTTGTCTGATTCTAACCATGCAAGCTAAGTTTTGTCTGATTCTATGAAAGCCTCGTTTCGTAGACTATAGTGCTATTTTTACCAAGGCGATAAGGGATGATATGGTCATATGTAAAGCAAATAACTTGAATTTCTATTTTCAGCTTTTTTTTAACTCTATAGTTATGTTCCTTACATATATATTCATATATTCGTTCAGATGTCGTTGGTGTGATATATGTGGGAGAAGTTCAGCATCTCCAACGTTATGGACGAAGCAGACCTACAAAGATATTGCCTTGTTAATCGTCGGTGAGTTCACTTTCAGTTTTTTTTTTAAAAAAAGAACACATTCTCATAGTGTGAGCGATCCCTAATCCATTTTTAATAGTACAAATATCAAGTGATCTTTGTTCGAATTTAGGATGAAGATGCATCCCCATGAGCAGGTAAAATATATGAGACATGAGACTAGGCATTGCCATGCCGATCTAATCCTCTTTCTCACACTTTTTTCATGCTTTTCTGTTTTTTATATTAGGGAACAAAACTGTGAATCATTTATGAGCGGCCTTCTGCTATGTGTTGTTTTTGCAATCTATCATCAATGCGATTTTGACCTTGTTTGCATCACGAATTTTGCCAATTTTTGGAACGATCGAGAAAGAATAGAGGCTCCTAATTCTGAAGGAAGCAACTCTTGTTTTCTTGCAATATACAATTTGTGATTCCAGTGAACGTCTAAGTTTGGAGGACAACCAGCACCAGCGTGGTGGTTGTGTTTGGCGAGTTGGCATGTTGCCATCGGCTGCATTTTTTTTACTCCTTAATCAAGATGAATATGTGTACTTATCTCCCCTGTGTAATGATACCGGTGCTGGTTGTGGTGTTTGGGATGTTGTCAGCAGCATCACTTTTCTCTCTTTTTTTTTCTTAGATCATTATGGATGTGTATATTTATCTCTCATGTGTAATATTGATGGTCATATGATAGAACCAAAATTCAATTTTCATGATATCACCATGTTCTTCTTGTTGTTAATATGATTAGTAAAATAAATACTACTTGCAAATAACTGGCGATATTTTTTTTTACCGAATCATGTTACATGTCACAATGGAGTGAACAAATTGCTAAACACAAATGGAGTAAATACATACATATCTATAAATATATGGGAAGTACAAATATTACTAAGATATTAAAATTATGAATATACTTGGGAACAAAAATATTACTACCATAATGGAGTTGACCAACTTCTGATCCAACGTCAAGTAAAAAAATATCACTATTAGATACCATCTATCAGTATATGGGTTTCCTGCATGGACTTAGTCTTCTTGTTAGTAATTGTTTTACCCGTTGACTAACAACCTCATTAATATATTTTTTTTACTATGGGCCGATAGGAAATCTAACTTTTTTTTATCTATGGACCGATACGAAATCCGGCTCGCAAATTTAGTATTTTTTTTGTTAGTAACT